TCGTACGAAAGAGCACAATGTTCAGATTCCTGGCAGATCCGCGCTGCTATGGTACAATCACTCTTTTTTCCAGTCGTGAGTGATGTGTCTTTCCGATGGAGCCATTGTGTGGTATTTGACTGTGAAGCCGAATTTGAAGACAGTGCTGATTCTTCTATAAATAAAGTTTAAAAATCGACTAAAACTCAAATAAGCTCATTTACTTATGACCTTCTAGTATTTTCTAAAAAGCATATAGACATATCTTTAAAAAATATTCCAATATCTGCTGTCTTTCAAAAATCATTGAAAAAACTTATTTTAAGAGAGCTACTACAAATGATCTTGAATTTTTTTAACGGAATAAAAACATGAATGTGACATAGTTTATGTAACTAAACATAATGACAAGGCTCAATTTCTTTGAATATTTTTTCCTCATCATTTACTTTTGTCTTTTTATTACGTTTGAGTGATGATTCACAGAAATCAGGTACAACTTCAAATACTTATAAGATAATCCATTATTTCTCCGAATTTCCGTTTCCTCCTTAGAAATATACTAAAGTGTTTCTCCACTGATTTTCATTATTCCCCCTTTAAAAAGCTTCTTTTAGACAGTTTTTGCCTATTCCCCTTACCCTTACCCTCTCATGAAAATTTAATTCCACAGATATGCCATGTATCCATTTTGAGACTGTATGTATTATCTGTGCTTCATACATAATAAAGAGTAAGATGTTTTTCGCCCATGTCTAAGAACCAATTTTCACCCCTTGGAGATTATACCTCTCATTGAGAATTCATGTTCTCTGAGATAGTTTCAATTAACCCATAATTATATAAGCTTTATAGAAAGAAGGTAAGAAATACAACCTCAACTTGCTTAACATAAGCTTTCAGAAGTGTACCATCAACTTCTTATTTTTTTTAATTGAAGTAGAGTCAGTTACAATGTGTCAATTTCTGGTGTACAGCACAGTGTCCCAGTCACCCACGTACATACATAGATTCATTTTCATGATAGGTTGCTACAAGATATTGAATATAGTTCTTTGCGCTCTACAGAAGAAATCTGTTTTTTTTTAAATCTAATTTAGACGTTGTACTTAATATTTGCAAATCCATCTACTTCTAAAATATCTCCTCCTCCCTTGAGGTTCTTCTTGCGGCTATCACAATGAAAACTTCCTTGACCCTACCATTCTTTCCCAGATCATCTTTTTCCCCTTAGGGGTATCCTGCTCTTAAAAAAAAAAAATTCTTTTTGTTTTATTAAATGAGCTTTTCTTCTACCTTCAATTTTACAAATGCCTCCTACCTAATGCAAGATAAAGGTAGTATAATCAATTTCAAGATATGAAAATGTTAAGCTTAAAAACTGCCAGGACAGTCCTACTAGTGCTGTTCAAAGTACTGCCTCTGTACAGCATGTGTTTTGAAACATACACTACGATAACGTTTTGTACATTTTTCAAATAACAGCTCAAGTGGATTGTTATAATTATGTAAATCAGGCTTCTCTACTAGAGCAGAGATCACCTCTCCATCTCTTTTGGACAGCAGATGCAGGCTTGCACAGATAGGATGTGTGTGAATTACAGGGAAATATAT